CGAGGGGAAGGGGCTGCGCCGGTCGCTGCGGGTGTCCTACAGCTTGTCCAGCACGGGGAGGCGGTGGGGAGAGGGCGGAGGGAGGAGGAAGGCTCCCACGTGGCTCGTGTTTGTCCGGATTCTTCCGGACTTTGCGTGCTGGCAAGGAGAGGGGTTGCGTGGGGAGGGAGAGGGACCGTGGCCCCCCACCCGTAGCTCTGGTCTCCCCTCCCGCCCCGCGGCGGGGCCATCTGGGGACCTGCGTGCGCGGATCCGTGAAAATGGCAGCGCAGGGAAACTGCCCGGCTGGAGGCGGTGAGGAGCAAAGCAGCAGCTCGGATGTCTTTGCGTTTGTATTTTTGCATCTCGTTCACGCAGACAGTTTCTTTTTACGGGAACCTGAGAAGCTCTGGAGTCAGCAGTCCTTGGGGTGAAGGGACTCGAGCACCTGCTGCTTACCTCCCTAAAAAGGGAACGGGAGAAATGGAAACCAATTACTTTGAGATTTGAGAGTAAAAGGCAGAAGTACGCATGCTGGCCGTATGGCATGATACTGACTCCGTCAGCAGTAACAGGGTTGTAAGCTTGTATCACAGTGACATTAGACAGGAAACTAATTTGCTAGCTTGTTAGATGAAGAATTAATGCCATATACTAAACAAGCGATGGGAACAACCAGTGTTCTCTTTTGATGGTCTCTGCTACTGCTAATATTTCTTTGGGTAAAAGGACCCCAGCTTAGCTTTTTCAGACAAGCATAGCTTAAAGAACGAACAGCAATCTACACGTAGACATCTAAACATAAGTGACCTGTAAACGAAGCATTTATAAAAATTGGCCTACTCATTTAAGCATTTGAATGTAAACATGTTGCTCAGTGGATGCAACAGATTCAAATTTTGTCCTGGCAAGTGAAAAATAACAACTGAAGTCTCATGGTAATTGAATTACTTTAGAGGTAGTGCAATGAGATGAACTGGTAGGGTTGTGATCAGGTGATAGGCTTTAAACCTCCCAGAGCAGGATCAAAACCAGCGTTGCTAGGCTGGTCTAAACTTGCTGTGCAGGTTCAAATTTTATTCAAAAGATGTGGATGGTTAACTTTAAGCTGGGAGACTTTCTGGTGGATCAAACATTGCCTGTTTGCATTTTGTGGGACCACTCACACTTAGCTAGTTTAGACCTTTTTGCCAGTCACTTCTCAGTTCCTCCTGTTCCTTGATCCCTGCGGTCAGGTAGCTGAGATGTGACCACTTGTGTAAGTGGTGGTGCTTGCTGCAGTCAGATCTTCCTTAGCTGCTGCTCTCTGCCTCAGAGCTGGTTTTGCCTCAGGCTCCTGCACAGACCTCTCCTTGGGCTGTCTTCTCTTAAAACAGGACTTCTGCTGTCTCCGTAACATCTCTTGCAAATTTTTGGCATTGCTAAGCACTTTCAGAAAACCGGAGCCAGGCTCACAAGTTGTGTAGACCTTTTGTTGTGTTCTTCACTTTGTTCATGAGGGCAAAAGCAGATCTGGCTAGGAGTTCTGGACCTGCTGGAGATATGGGGAAAGCCTACGGTGTGACAGACTCTTGAAGCACCATTTTCAATAGCTGAGTACGTCGCTAAGGGTGTTTTTATCAGAAAGCAGCTAGTTTAGAAACGGGAGTCCTTGGTCATGCCTCAACTCACTGCTCTGCTTCTGCACACCCACTCCCATTCTGGGACAGCTACTTCTGACTGCATCAGCCATCTTGTACGTTCTCCACACCTTCTTCCAGCCAGGGCAACCCTGAACCGAAAGTGCCAGTCAATATGCCAGCTCATGCTCTTGCACAACCTCCTCACACTCCCCATTTGGCAGGGAGAGCAAGCGTATCTACTAAAAATACCTACTATTACCTGAGCTGGTGATGGCGATTCTTAAACAACCCTGAAGAAGGGGTAACCAACTGTCCTGCTATGCTGAAAACAATGGCCACCTGTGTTTTCTCAGTGAAACCTGTCTGCACTTCTGAAGCCAGACTTTCAAAGACATCCTTGTGTACCCCAACCAAGATGACACTTATCCAAAGCTGTCTAAGAAGGGGAGCAAGAAGAGACATTGAGGTATGAGTCAGCACAGCAGAAGTGCTGTTTTGAAGTGGATGGACTATCATAAGGCTGCAATGACTCGCAGTTACAGAGCAAATGCATTCCCTGTTGATTTGCCACGTAGACATGTAAGCACAAAGCAGACCAGGTCCTAGGAACTAGTATCAATGTTCCAAAGTCTGTGAAGCATCTGCCTTCTCCTCAGCATCTGCATACAACTATTCCACGTATCCAGTCCCAACAATCTTGTTCCATGCTTTCCTCATCATTGCACCAGCTTTGTGTTCAGCAGCTACTAGAGACCTGCTCCCTGGAGCAACAGCCATCTGCAGGAGGCCCTTTATGACCATAAGCAGGAGTAGGGCTGGGATCTAGTGCATCATGGTAGCTGGAAGCTAGTTACCTCCCCTTCAGATTGTTTAGCTGAAGCTCAGCTTGCAATTTGTCCAGTTGAGTTTTGCATACCATCATGGATGGGAGATTCCACAATCTCTTTGCCACAACAGGTTGTCCACGCCCACTGAGAAGAATTCCCCCCCCCCCCCCCTTATATCCACTTGGAATTTGCCATGTTGCAACTTGATCAGTTGCCTTTTGTCATTTTGCTGTGCACCTCCAAGAAGAGTCTGGCTCCATCTTCTCTATTCCCTCCCACTGGGTAGCTGAAGACAACAATTAGATTGTCCTGTAGCCTTCTCTTCTTCAGGCTGAACAAACCTAGCTCTCTCAGTGTCTCCTTGTTTGTCACATGCTCCAGCTCCCTATTCTTTTGGTGACCCTCCCTCGGACTCCTTCTAGTTTGTCGATACCTTTCTTGTATCGCAGTGCCCCAGACTGTGCACAGTACTCCATAGGCAGCCTCACAAGTGCCAGATGGGGGTGGGGGCAGTAATCATTTCCCTTGATCTGCTGGCTCTGCTGTTACTAATGCAGCCCAGTATATGATTAGCTTTTGTTGCTATGAGAGCAATTGCTCACTCAAGCCCATCCTTGTTGTTCGCTGGCACCCCCAGGACCTTTTCTGCAAAGCCGCCCTTTACCAGGTCAGCTCCTGGCTGTTGTATGGGTTTATTATATCCAAGGTGCAGGACTCTACATTTGCCTTCATTGAACTGGAAGACATTCATGTTGGCCCATTTCTCCAGCCTTTCGAAGTCCCGCTGAATGACAGTCCTGCCCTTGAGTGTATCAGTGGCTCCCCTCAATTTGATGTCATCCACCTGTGTCACCTGCTGATACTTATTTGCCTTGACAAGGAACATATATTGTTATTGGCATGTTGAGGTTCAGCACAGCTGATATCATCCTTGTCAGTGTGATCTGGGATGGATCCATGCTACGGCAGCTGCTCGTACTTCTCCTGCCATGTAGAACTACCCCTGCTTTTAGCACTATGGTTGCCCAGGTGCGATGCTGAGACCGTGGTTTCCTTTTGCAGATCTGAGATGCAAACTGTGAAGCGCAGCAGTGCTGCCTTGGAGGCACTGCCTGGTCCCCCAGGCAGAAGGCTGGGCTGCACAAAACATCCTCACAGTGCAGCTGCGCTGGCATCCCAGAGTCCATAAACAGTGGATTTGACACAGTGCAATGCAGGATACCAGCAACATGCTCATGGGTAACACTGGTACAAGGTACTATCTCTAATTTGAAGTAGCCACTTAAAATTTGGCCATGTAACAGTGTCTTGAACTAGATCAAGCCTCTTACAGCAGGGCATCTCTCAGTATAAACTGCTTGTTGAACTATATTCTGAACATGATGCCTTCTATTAAATATGTTAAGCTTTCTGTTTCACATAAACAACTATGCTGATGACCATATTTTATACAAATAGGAAGCTGTTTGATATTGCGATTACTTTCCGTTTTCGTGAGGTAGCTTTTGGTTAGTTTAAAATATATTCATGCGTAAAAATATATCTGCTTCAGATTAGTCAAGGTGAGTACTGAGTGACACCTGCTCGGTGTCACCTCCAAAGCACTACAACCTTCTGGAGAACTGCCCTGATACAGAAGAGTTGTCTTCTGTGTTTTTGAAACCAGAGTCCATGAGGGAAGCTAGTAAAAGCAAACCAGTTGTCACTGGGTTTAGATTTGTTGTACAGAGGTCTATAATCCCATTAGAAAAATGCTAGGGGTCCAAACTGAGGAAAGTTTAAAAAGCTACAGAAATGGTCTTGCCCCTTCAGCAGTTTATGGAGTGATCTGGAAAGTGTCAGTAGGGGGAATGTGCTAAGCGTAGGACGAAATGTTGTTAGGCAGCTCCTTGCACCAGCAGTTCCCTCCTAGCTGTAGTTGCCACAATGATCCAGGTGGTCTGAAAGAAATGAGGAGAGTCCTCAGAACCAGCAGTTGCCGACAGATAAGTTTTGTGAGCAGTAAGTCAGGCCCTCATCTCCTTGCCAGACTCTTCATAGCTATTTTGTACGCTCTTGTTGCTGCCCATTCACACATATCCAACACTCTTTGTGTTCTATTTTCCATTTAATTTTTGTCTGTCCCCTCACCCTGTGAAGTTTGCAGCACAGGATTTAGTGAGTTTTTCAGTAAGAATGTATAAGTCATCAAATGGCATATTAAGTTACAGGACTTCTTTCTGTATAGTTTTTGGCCTTATACAATTTCTGTCCAGTGTAATGGATTTGTTGTGCAGTCTGTATGACTTAAGTGATCTCTTTCTCTGCTAATGGATTTTGATCAAGCTAAAATGAAGTTTTAGAAGTTATTAGGAAAATCAATTTACATCACTTAAGGGAATGTGTGATCAGACATCCTGTGTAAAATCAACAGCTGAAGAGCTGAAGAAATTCAAGGTAAAGGGGACAGTGACATTGTATATCAGTGCCTGGTGGATTAGTGGGAGGAGGGACTTAAGGGGCTTTCCCCTATTAGCATGCCTGGTATAATTTATACAGTACTAAATGCAGCCACGCAGCTGGGCAGCTTCCTCTCCGTGTTACATCATGTGAACTGTCTAATAAATGGAGCCTTTCAAAAACTTGTTGGAGGAATCTCAGGGCTTGAAAATTTATGTCCTAAGAATTGTGAAATAAAATAGACAAGAAGTGGCCACGCAGAACTGCATTTTCTGTTTAGGTAAAAAGCGCTCTGAAAGAAAAGTTGAATAGCTGAATCTAGCCATTTCTATTCCCATAGCATGGTTTAAATCCATTGGATACTCCCAATAAGAATAAACTCCTTTTCGGAGGGAATCTGCATTCTGATCACTTTTCCCCTCAAAAGGGATTGCCAAGCAAATGTACTGAAGAGATACCATAAAAACCTGGAAAATTCAAACCAGGAAAAGTGGAGGCTGGCTGGTTTTAATGAATAATTTCAACTTTAGAATAGCAGAAACTGAGAGATGTCCTGCTTAGAAATCAGAGGATAGGACTCAGTAATTAAAAGGAAGAAGATAGATTGATCAAGTTTGTATGCAGAATACACCTTTTTTGGTGTATGAGATGTATTGTTTCAGAGTAATTTCAAAAGAGTGTTTATGCAGCAAAGTCTTTAGAGACATATCGGGACACTCCAAAACCCGAATGGATTGTGTACTAACATAAGTATTCCTGTGTAATGCAGTTCTGGATGCTAGAATATGCCTACCAGATGACTACAAGAATAGTCATAACTTTCTAGCTGTGATGAAAGACTGCAGTGGACCCAGACAATTTCACCATTGGTCTGACTTGGTCTGAAATATGGCATTTCTTAGAATCTTGAAACTGTCAATAATTTGCTTCAAAATAGACCAATCATGTAGTGCCTAAGAAGGAAAATTTTAGAGACAAACGTGAAAAAAATCAAATACTGTCATATACAGCTATAATATGACTATCAGGTCTGACTCTCGCATCATACCAGTTCTAGGAGTAAACAACTGTCATTAAAAAAAAAAGGAATCATGAACCTAATAAAGCAAAATGAAGTATAGAGACGGGAAAAACAAGGGATAGCAAAACCCACAGAAAGTACTACAGGAAAAAGCACCATAGACTGAGGTTAGGTATCCAAAACAAAGATGTCATGAGATAAAGGCATCACACAAAGAAATTAATTATACTGTAAAGAGCATGGGGAGATATTTAAAGGTATTGATTTTACAAAAGTATAAATGAGGGAATATACAATGAATTTAACTTCATCTTAGAAAGCTGATCATCACAAACTTCTTTTATGCATTCCGATGCTCACTCAATATAGACATCATGGACAAGTGCAGGCCAAGTAATTACGATGGGGAAACCAGACATCGAAACCAAAGATGAGCATACGGAGGAGGTGCTATTAAAACCAAAACCTCTGTGCTTGCTTAAGGTATGAAATTAGAAATACACAAAAGATCCTGCAGAAGACTTGAAAAAAATTGTATGCTCCCACATCAGAACTCATTAATGCCTCAGACCTTGAATAGTGCTTGCTGTTCTCTAAGTTTGACAGGTTGTACTGCTATAGTGCTGAAAAATCGGTGGGTAAAAAAAAAAAGTCAGTGTGCTAAGCCAAGAATGAATAGAAGTCAGTTTAGTTTTTATCTAGTAGTTAACACAAGGGAAACTGACCTCACCTTGAAAACACTATCAGAAGGTGTCATGGAAGTATAAAGGGAAATTTATGTATGCTTTGCTGCTTTTGTGAAGGTTTTGAGAAGTTTCAGCATGACAGACAGATATGCATCACTGGAAAAGGTATTGATGACTCACAAAATCCAGAGTTTAGAAAACACTGTAGCTGAGAGAGAAAGCAGCATTGTGAGCAGATGTTGAAACATCATAGTGCATCATCAAGGTACATTTTGTCTGTGAAAGCATTTGTCATTAAGTAGAAAGCATAACAAATGACAGTTTGGAATCTTCTAAATGGCATCTGAGTTAATGGAGCTTATATGAACAATATAATGTCTCTTAGCAATCTTTCTCTAAGAGTTCGATTAGAGAAGACCTTCAGAGCTTGATGAATATTTTGAAAAAAGATTATGATAAATGTTAAAAAACCGAAAGTGCTAAGAATAGTCTCAGCAAAAGACAAAGTTGACAACTCAGTTATTTTAACAACCAAGCACTAGATCAAACCTACCAGCACTCTAGCAATTTATTGCAGTGCTGGCTTCACTGTGTGTTCCTGGTCCTCCAGTCGCCACCATTTACTACTTCATTGCGTTGTGCATGGGCAACAGAAGAATAGCTCCCTTTCTAGACAAAACTATGGCTTGATGGGGTAATAGTTTCCTCCCTTCTCCTTTCCTTAGGATACAAGGGCCACATGGCATGGAAACCACATTCTTCTTTTCCTTACTCAGGGGTGTACTCCAGTGATTGCAGTAATCCATGTGCACAGGGAAACCTTGAGAAACCCCAAGTGGTCCTCATGACTAATAAAAACCAGTAAGGCTTAATTCTCATTTCAGCAGTTGGTTTTTATCCTTGCCATGTGTTGTACTGTTACTCCTACTTCTGGCTTCTCTACTCTGCAGTCTTTTTGTCTTCCTTTTCGCTATTCTTCTTCCCCTCCTCCCCTTTTTTTTGTTTTACTCTTTCTCCTTAAGAAAAAACAGGATGCCCCATGCCTTGTCCAAGTCATGGGAGTGCAAAAGAGCGACCTGAAGGCTGGAGGAAACTGCTGGTCCTGTTCAGCCGTGCCAGGAGAAGATCCTGGGGTTGGCTTCTTTAGCGATAGAAAGGAAGTGGATAGATTTTTAGATTTAGCAGATGGAAGAAGGAAGATGGTATAAAATGAAACATTAAAAAGCCCTTACAGAAATTAATTGCCTTTTGCAAAGTTATGAAGATCCTTGGGGTTGGCTTCTTTTACTTCTGGCACAATTTCCAGTGGGTGGACGAGCGATAGAAAGGAAGTGGATAGGTTTTTAGATTTAGCAGATGGAAGAAGGAAGATGGTATAAAATGAAACATTAAAAAGCCCTTACAGAAATTAATTGCCTTTTGCAAAGTTATTCACGATAGAGAAAAGCAAATGTGCACATTCACCAGAGATTGTTCAAGATGTGATGGATGGTTAACCATCTTGCTCAATTGTAAAAGGCTGACACTTAAAAAAAGATGCAGAAATTAATCACAGTGCACTTCTAATTTGAAACAAGAGATGAATATTTAAAGTCAGTTGAATAG